TCTGTCTGTCTGTCTGTCTGTCTGTCTGTCTGTCTGTCTGTCTGTCTATTTATTTATTTATTTATTTATTTATTTATTTCCCGGATATATTAGTGTGTGGTTGAAAGGGTGAATAAGGTATATTAACCCTTTATAGGGCACTCAATGAAATACTTTAAAATTAAAAAATTCAACCTTAGAGTCTCATTGGACAACATAATAAGACTTTATTCCAATTGTGACATTTTTGAATTTTTTTTATTTTCATGTTGAAAATCGAGTTCAATGAAGTTACCATATTTGGTAACTTGCCCTTTAGTGGTAAAAATGTCAAGGCCAATGAAGTGATCAAATTTGGTCACTTGCCTTTAAGTGGGAAAACAAATTCCAATAAGTATACATAGATAAAAATACATATAATGCAGGTACTGCACTAGCGCCGGGCTGGTGAAAATGTTATCAGCATAGATGGCTGTGGTGGTGGGGAAGGACATGGTACTGGCAAGGACAGATACAATCTGGCTGGTGGCACCTAAGCCTTCTTGTTCAGGTTTCAGGGGAACATCATGGGCCTCCAGGGTAGTCCTGCCCTGGTTTAGCACAATGTCATGGATGAAGCCATCCTCAGATGCCCTGGCAAACAACTTTAAACCCCACTTGTCTGGCTTGCTTTTGATATATTGCCTCAGGTTGTCAAGTGGCAAAAATCACTCATAATTACTATTCATAAACTAAAAACACAGTGTTGAAATTGAGCAGAATCACTGTATAGTGATATAAAAAACTTTTGCGACCTTAAAACATAATATGCTAAGTTGTATTGCTTTATTTGTAAAGAAAATGCATAGTATGTTTTGTTAGATGCATTGGGCATATGTCCAAAAAGAGACATTCCAAGTAAAATCTAGTTTTTAGTGAAAAGGGCATATGATCAAATATGGTGCCTGCATTTTTCATGCCGTATTTTCAATAATTTTAATAATTCCTCAGCAAACAACTTGTATGTCAACACTAAACACAACTATTCAACAATAAAATGTATGAGTTTCATCAAGTTCACATGGTTAGTTTTGATGTTTCTTTTGAAAATGTCCAGTGAACCGAGCTGATGCCATGACAGCGGCGTAACACCGACACTACACTTCCCACAATGCACTGAGGTCATGGCGGCGTAGGTGTTTCCGGTGTCTTATAACATTTTACTTCCTTCCACACAGACCGACACGAACAAATCGAGAAAGAAGACGTCGCTAAGTTTCAGGCCTTGTCGCAAACACCAGCGTTAAAAGCACAGTTTTTGTTGAACTTCTCACGAAAAAATCCGCGGAATGTTGTTCGTGGTGTCCGAGGATTGAAGAATTGCTGACAAACGCCGACCGTAACGTGTAGGCCTCTGAAGAAAGTTTGGTCGAGGGCCTGTAAACAACATGTCCTCCGCCTCGCAGTCTTCCTCCAGACGGCAATGGTGCTACCTCTGCGACCTGCCCAAGATGCCGTGGGCCATGCTGTGGGAGTTCAGCGAAGCGGTGTGCCGGGGCTGCGTCAACTACGACGGGGCGGACCGCATCGAGCTGCTCATCGAGACCGCCCGGCAGCTGAAGAGCACGCACGGAGTTCTAGACGGCAGGTCCCCGGGTCCGCAGCAGGGCAAGCCCAGCCCGGCCGGGCCCGTTGAAGCGGGGCGCCAGCACGGGGAGCGCGTAGACCGGGGCAGGGGGGAGTACGGGGTGTCCTCTCGCCTCCCCAACGGGCTGCACAGAGCGGAGGACGTGGCCCTGTCGGAGGGCAGCCGTCAGAGCCCCAACACCCGCCGGGCGGTAGCCAGCGCAGTGCCCAGCCTCCATGGCACCATATCGCACGCGCTGATCGCTCAGGGGCTCGTAGCAGCCCCTCATGGGCTCTTGACCCCCCTGTCGGCCTCCAGAGCTGGGGCCACACCTATTGCAGTCTCAGCTGGCACCATAATGGGCGATGCGGCCAGAAGACAGGCCGTGTCCATCGGAGTGGGCGCCAGCACCTCTGCCCTGGTGGGCATCGACCCGGCTGTGTGGAGGAACAATGAAATGATGGCTGAACTCAGCGAGGTGTCTCGCAGCAGGTTGGAGGGCTGGCCCAACCGGCCCAAGGTGGTCCGGGATGTGCTCATGGCCCTCAGCAGCGGCGTCCCCTTCAACGTGCGCTTCAGGAAAGACCACAACCTGATGGGCCGCGTCCTGGCCTTCGACGCCAGCACGACTCCAGATTTCGAGCTGAAGGTGTTCGTGGAGTATCCAGCCGGCTCTGGAATAATCTACTCAGGAATCCCAGACTTGGTCCGGCAGATGTTCCGCGACTCGGCCAAAGACGCGGGCAAAGCGGTGAACTCTGGCCTGCGCTACGTGGAATACGAGAAGAGGCAGGGCACGGGCGACTGGCGCGGGCTCTCCGAGCTCCTGAACGACGGCGTGCGGCTCTTCAAAGAGCCCCCCATCCCCGAGGTCCTGCCGCAGTCCGACGCAGTGTTGCCTCTGGCAGCCGGACGCCCCGGGCCGGCGAAGGGCCCCACCAGGCGCCGCAAAGCCTCCCCGGGCTCAGAGAACGGCGAGAGTGAGGGGAGGCCCGATCACCCGACCAGAGAGCCCTGGCCGCGAGGCGCCTACGCGAGCATGGAGCCCCTACCGGGCATGGCGGCGCCGCCGGAGGGGCCGCCCCGGCTGCACAGCCAGCCCTCGCCCATCTCGGCGCTCATGGGGGTGGCCGACAGCCTGAGCTCCAGCCAGATGGCGCGGGACAGCCCCGGCATGGCGCAGCCGCACCCCTCCGCCGCCGGCCGCTCCTCCAGCAGCAGCCCCTCCACCGCCTCCACCTCCGTGTCCCAGGCGGCGGCGGGGCCGGGCCTGGGCGTGGCGGGGCAGAGCGGCAGCGGCGCGGGGGAGGCGAGCGGCGGCGCGCCGGGCGCCCTGCTGTGCTGCACCCTCTGCAGGGAGCGCCTGGAGGACACGCACTTCGTCCAGTGTCCCTCTGTGCCCCACCACAAGTTCTGCTTCCCCTGCACCCGAGGATTTATCCGCAACCAGGGCCAGGGGGGGGAGGTCTACTGCCCCAGCGGCGAGCGCTGCCCCCTGGCCGGGTCCACCGTGCCTTGGGCCTTCATGCAGGGGGAGATCTCCACCATCCTGGCCGGAGACGGCGACGTGACGGTAAAGAAGGAGAGCGATCCTTGACATCTCCGTCCCGCTGTGGTGAATGGTAAGAGGAGGGGAAAACACGCCGACACCGTCTCTGCCTTTCAGAGTCACACCGAAGAGCTTTTAACCCCAAACAGAAGCAGAAGAAGAGACAAGCCGCTCTCAGTTTCTGCTCAGTGTTGAATTTTATGTGGAATAGTCCTAAAGGCTAAATTATTGATGCTATTCAGGACTTCACACATTGTCTTATTTCCCCAACAGATCAATCAATTATTAATAATCATTTGCTCTTATGGTAGTTGAAGCCCTGGCTGATGGAGTCTGGAGTTATTATAGGATACAACCGGCAGCATAGTTAAATCTGGAGCAATTAAGTCATCTACAGGAGTTTAAATATTCTGTAGATTTGACTTGGTTGCGTCTCTAAGAGGAGAAAGTTCCCCGTTCAGAATGATGAACCCAAAACGTCTTATGTGCGTTAAGAGGAGATCATTCAGTGATGCCTCCTTTATTAGTTTGACTGCAGATTTGTGTTTTTTGAAACGTTTGAATAATGACGGCTTCGGGAGTGAAGCATTTTAACAAAGTCAGCCAGCATTTTAAAACATCAAGTTCAGTTTGACTGACTGGAGTCTATACAAAAACCACATCTGATTTGAAAGTGAACCAAATGGGTGATATTCAGAGACGATGGAAAAAGCCATCAAAGGCACGAGTTCAAAGGGAGGAAAGGATGTTTTAATCGGGGTCAAATGGGCTGTGGACCAGGTGCTGTAGGGCTCCTGGTCCATTTCATTGCTTCCGTTCTGACTGTGGGGTTGAACTGCAGCAGGATGGATTGGGATTCAGCATAGCGATGGGTAAAAAATAAAAAAAAATAAAAGCCTCGGCACAGACCTGTTAGGCAGAGGTGCTCCTGCAGATGCATCCAGATGTGGCCCTCACTCCTGTTTCTGCTCTCTCCGCAGTGGATCAAACACTTTCAAAGCACTTCCCTTCTATCTCAAACCGAGGTCAACTTGGCTGCATCTTATCCTGCGTGCCTCCGACAGCAGAGGAGCTCTGAGCCCAGGAGGACCACTACACACAGACTGGTTACTGAAGACTCGCCTGCTGGGCGAGGGACGCATCGGCCCGGGCCCGACCAAACCTCCCGCAGGGGCGCCCGGGATTGAAAGCACACATTTGTTTGTTTGACAATCTAAATAGTTATTTTATTTCCTTTTCTTTTACTTTGGTCTAAGTGTTCACACGCAGGACAGCGATACTGATTGATAGCCTCAAACACGCAAAACAAACAATACAAAAAAAACTCTTTGAAAAACGAATGTTCAGAAACCCAGAAAAACCATCTGGTCCTTAAACGCCACGGAGTGAGAAACGATGTAACCCCACAGTACGTCTCTTAGGTATTCTCCTTATGTTATATGTCAAAAATGTGAATTTACTTTCAACATGGCTATGTAATTTCTATTTTTGATACAATACAAATTTCTATGTATTTGTTTATAGTGATGAGAAGACCAAAGATGGCTTCATGCGCAGTGTAATTTTATTGTATGGTAGCTGTGTATGCTGTGTTCACTGACATCCTTGGCATCAGTCACTAATTAGTCCACTTATCACAGATGTTAGCTTGTTTTGTCTATTTACTTTTTGAATTCTATGTATGGTATGATAATTAGCACCGCCATCTTTAATGGTTAACCCACATACTTATGTGATCTTATCAGGTCAACTCTACAATAAAAGTAAAAAAATAGTCGGAGCCGCCTTTCTCCGCCTGTGATTTCAGATGTTTTTGTAAAAACTTTATTTGCTGTTTGACAGGAGCGGTTTGTTTCTGTAATCTGAGCCACCTAAATGACGTTTGCAGAGAGAAAAGCCCTTTATTACCGACCCAGCAGAAACCACAGTCCCAAACAAAGAAGACCAGCTGACCCAAAGTGGGCCGTTTGCACTCAGAAGCAGGATTTCTCGCCTTTGTGGGAGTTTGTTCTGAATTGAGTGCACGCGATGGAGTGTCCACAGCAAAAGAGAGCAGCCTTTTAATAGAAAACTTTCAAAGCAGACAGTGAAATGCAGGAAGTGACGTGAAGCCCACACCTTAATATTAACCTGGAAACATTTGCAAATCAAAGTGGAGCAGGTCCTCCACCTGTGTACGGTTCAGGAACCCGTCGCAGCGTGGGGCGTGAGCGTGCTCAGATGGGGCAGCCGTTTTGTCCCAGGGCCTCCTGAGCCCCCTTCAGCGTCTCCCTCTTCACACACTTCCAGTAGCCGCCGATGCTGCGGTGGGGCTGCACCTGGAGGGAGACGCGCACATCAGGACGGCACAGAGCAGGCGCTTTGGGTCAGTGAGAGAAGCTGGACTGTTACCTTCAGGCCGCGCAGCACGCGGTCCGTCATCACTCCCATGAACTCCTTGTGGCTCAGGCAGTTGTCCCCGTCCATGTCGAAGAGCTTGAAGACGGTGTCCAGCACGCTCTCGGACAGCTCGTGGCCGGTGGCGATCTTCACGGCCCGCCTGAACTGGGCTGCGGTCACAGCGGCCGTGAGTCCGGCTCTGGGTCAGGTGCAATCGGGTTAAGGGCTGAGGTCAAGCTTACCCATTCCCACAGGGCGGTTGGCCTCGGTGACCATCTTCATGGAGAAGGCGAAGTCCTCCAGGTTGTTGGTGAACAGGCAGAAAGCTTTGAACTCGTCGAACGTGATGCTCTGGGGGGGAAAGACGTCTCATTATCTGCTCCTCCCACAGAGGAGAGCAGAGGCCTCCTACCTGCCCAGCTGGGATCTTCTTCCTCATGTTTTCCCAATAGACTTCGTTGTCTTCCTCGTTGGTGTAGTGCAGCAGCCACTCGGCGAAGTCTTCCCTTCTCATGGTGTCCATCCCTTTGGAGAACTGCAGGAACTCCATCTCCTGGACCTCAGCCTGCAAGTCCTCCATGAACCTGAACGGCAAAAAATTTAACCAAATCGTGGCGTTTGTCAGAAACAGTAAAAGTACAATTTTTAGTATTTTTGGGGTTTTGTTGCTGTTTTGATTTGCATTTTGGACGGTTGAAATATTCAAAACATTATCAGAAACTTCAAACAGAACATTGTCTCAGTTCACTTGAGTGAAGAGGCCCGTTTGCTGAGAGCAGACTGAGCTGTGGGACGCTGCTGTGCCATGTGGAGACGTGCCCCTGCAGAGCGCCACTCTGTGGTGAGGCGCTGACCTTTCCTCTGTAACGGCAGACCAGGAAATGCCAGCAGGGCGAGGCTGCCTGGCTTTGTGTTCAGGAAACGTGTGCCGACAAGCGCCTGCAAAGGGCTGAGGGTGTGGCGGGATGGGCAGCACGAGGACATCCCACAGGCGTCCCACACGGCCATGTTTTATCTGTGTTCAATCCACTCTGATAAGGGCTATGTGAGCCCCCCCCCAGAAAAAGGAGGCTTTCTACCTTCTTTAGCCCAGAATAAACCCACAGCGGGCTTAAGCCCGATAGAGCATTGTTTGATCAATAGATTCCTTTTTCTGATAAAACTACTGAAATCTGAAAACACATTTAATCTGGATCATGAATGTTCACCGTTTAAGACAATGTGCCCCCCCCCCCATTCAAACACAGCCATGGGGCTCTACCTGTGGAACTCCTTGTACTGCAACTTGTCGTCTCCTTTCCTCCCAAAGAAGTAGGCCTGCAGTGTGGTGTTCACGCAGGCTTCCTCCTCTGCAGGCGCCTGTAATCGTCCAATCAGATATGCTCGCTGTTCACTGTCATCGAATCGGAGCTGAAGAAGCTGTCGTTAGGAAGTGAAAGCCTACCTCTGAAGCGTCCTTTGGTTGTCTCCGTTTACTTTTGCTAATGATTTTCTTGAGCTTAGGCAGAAAAAAAGTAATTAGTAAGTACCGCTAAAACCTTTTAAACAGAAGCTTCATACTATTTTAAACAACAAAAAAATGTTCTCCACCCTGAACAAAGTCAGGGAAGCCTGTTCCCCTTGTATCGAAATCATGCTCCGACAAATTTACAGAACATGTTACGGTTCATCACAAATTCTCCATCTCTGCTCCCGCCTTGGTAGTAAAGAAAAAAAAAAGCGACTTCTGTTTGCTTCTTTTCACTTGTTGAACTAACAAAACAGGAGGTTTCCTTGGTTGTGTTATCACAGGTGAAGTCGGTCAAACTGGACCTTCATCCTGTGTTCACACAGACGGGAGCGGAGGAGAATCCATGCGCTCTCTGAGGTCCTCCCATGTTTCTGCACCGTGTTGCAAACACGTCGAAACCCGACAAAATAAGTGCAAAACAGGCCGACGTGCAGTCTGACGTGCACAGGACTCAGAGCGGGCAGCTCTGGCTGCAACAGATGGGCTCAGGCAGGCACACAAAGCTCCCCTCACCTTCAGAAGCAGCCTGGCGTCATACTCACCCCTGTGGAGGCACCGGCCGCTCGTGACAGCATTAAAAGTGGTGACAGTTTCACATTTGAGTGGAGGCACTTTTGGACAGATGAGCCTGAATGGTGCGTTTAAACCACGGGAAACGTCACGGCTCCCACCTTAAGAAACTCCTTATTGTCCACGTGCTCGTTGCCGTCCACGTCCAGCATTTTGAAGGCGATGTGAAACCCGGTGCGCGGCTCTGCAACGGCAGAACCGACTCATTCAGGCCCGCTTAGCAGCATGGGTCTGTCTCTGGTTACACTCAACATTTCTATTGTGTGTTTTATTACATCCTGGAAAGGGTTTTTGTAAGCTTTTCCACCTTTTTTTGCTCCTCCATTTAAACACAATTCCAAACATCTGACAAAGGAAACAGAAACTTACAGAAGAAAAAGGGCAACTTTGATACAACTTACTGGTCAGGATGGTCAGCAGGAACAGATATTCTGTGTAGGATATCAAACCTGCAGCACACAGACAGACACAGAGAACTTAAAGTTTAGCTGAGCAGCAAACATGCCGACTGTTAACGGGAAGCGAGCCCCTGCTGACACCCAGGGTCATTGACCTCACCATTGTCCCCTAAGTTTCGGAACAGCTCCGCACCGGGCCGGGCTTTATGGGCAGCTGTCAGCATACCGTCCACCTCCTGGGAGATTTACAGCATTAAAAAAAGTCAAAACCCCATAAAACTGAACTGCTGACTCCTCTCGCTGTGTCAGGGTGGACACAAACCTGAGCCGTGAGAATTCTTTTCTGTAGCTTTCCTGCATGAGAACAAATGGAAGATATGAGTCAATAACAGCAAAAAACAAAAAAAAAACTCAAAATCTCCCCAGTGATGTTGCTCTGCAGGGGTTAAATTCCCTGCAATTACCTGATAAATACCAATAAATACATACGTTCCTTCTAACAAAACTTTAACTGAGGGAAAATCTCTGATTCAAAGGCAATTAAGAGGTTAAATAACAGGCAGGTGCTGTTAGTCAGCTGCCCTTAACTGATCCACAGGAAGGGTGAGCCTCAACAAGCTAAAGCCACGACAGTTGGCTGTCCTGGAGAGCGATTCAAGGAGGAAAATATTAACAATCATCACATCCCATTGAGCTGGGAAGAGTTAAAAGGCCAATGAGTCCAATGATGGACTCTGGATAGTTGGCAATCATTGAAAATAGTACAACTCATTCAAAAACAAAACACTTCCTTTAAAAATCTAGTAATCTTACTTCTCCAACAGAGCTTAATCACATCAGTATTAAAGGTACAATACCAAACAGAAGAACCTTTTCTACAGCATCTAATGAGCAAACGGGACTATAAACCCAGCGTCTAAGCAACTCATCATGCTTACGATCCACTTTCTCCAGCATCACTGAGAACAGAAAATCCCTCGGGGTCATGTAGGGCTCCTCTTCATACACCACTGAGGCAAACTGGATGAAGCGGATCCTTCTGGCGGACAGCACAGGAGCTGCAGCCTCCTGCTTACAACACAAGCAGAACAAACACACCTCTGAACAGCACACTCCTGTTAGCTGCCATGTGGCCTGATTAAAAACAAATACACTTTCCCGTTGGACTTCTTTCCCTTTATCCGACACATAATAACCGGTTCGGTTAAGTTTTCATTATGTAAGGTTAATTTTTAATAGCGTGCACACAAAAATGTACGGAGAAAGCAAACAGTGAAGATAAAGAGGACTAATTGTTAACGCTGTCAGTGGGTGGCCACTGGGGGGCGTCGTTTGACGTGAGCTGATAAGTGTTTACACCCTCTTCTCTAATATATTATTATCACTGCCTGCTCCTATGTAGCAGCTTAAGGGTTAGATGAAATATAACAAAACATTTTAAAAGTGTAGTTTTGGTGTAAATTGTACCGACAAAACGTCGCCGTTTACTTACTTTTTCTTCCTCTGCGTGAACTGCGAAGGGCAAAGTCTTGCTGCCTGCATGATATTGATAATATAAGATAGCCCCAGTGCCGATAATAGAGCCTAAAATGCCAGGGCCCACAGCACGACGCACGGCAAAACTTTTCACGGAGCGAGAGCTCCTCAAAACATTCCTCAAGACGGCGGCGAACTTTCCCCAGCTGGCCATTTTCAGGAAGCGAGTAGTGACTAGTTTGTAGCGCAAACGCAACGGCTTCCGTACCGTAGGAATGTGCTGGCCAACAGCCAATCAGAGGAGAGAGTTCCTCCCACTTTTTGCTTGTAGCCAATCCAAATCCGGGTCCGACGGCGGATCCAAAATAGAACTCAAAATAGTTTTTGCATTTACATTCCACCACACTGATCCAGTCTACCACAGTTGTCACACAACAAGAGCAACATTAGAGGTAAAAACTATGAATGCATGCAGATTCTCGGCAGTATGTTTGTCATTCAATGTTTGGAAATATCTATAAAAAATATGAACTGCTCATTTGGTTTTGCACTGTTCATATACAGCCCAGTTTAAGCCATTCAGAATACACAGAACTGTTTTCCAGGTGTAATCTAATAGATCAATTGCTCACAGGTAATGCATGAAACTTGCCAAGTAAACGTGGGCACCCAAAGCCCTTTATAATAGGAGGAGAGGTCTTGAAGACCATGCACAGGCATTATGATAGCTCTAACTTATAAAATATTAATGTACTGGCTCACTAAACAAAGTAGACCATGCAGTCCATGTGAAACATGGTCCCGAAGGCCCATTTCCAATTTTAAAGCATTTCCCAAACAGCATCAGGGGTTTAATTTAGAATGAATTAAGTAAAACAATAAATGATCACCAATCAAATAAAACGTCAACATAAATTTCTTCAGACTATCAAAGAATTACGATCTGTTAAACCCTTTTTAGTCTAACTCTGAATTGACCATATCCGATGGAAAATAGACTGATTTCACAGCCAACCTGTGCTTAAGGGCAAATTTCTCCATAAAATACTAACAAATACAAGACAAAGTAAGGCATAAGTTTGTCCCGATCTCTGATAAGAATTTTTTCTTTGAGGCCAAGAGTCTCAAAATTATTTGGGCACATTTTTGACTTTCCTAAATCAATGTCTGGCATTAATGTATATTTCTAATGTGGATCAGACTGAAAGCTGACTCATTTTTTTCTGGTTGCTACTAATCTATTGTACTGAGGGGGAAAAAGACAAAGAAACAGACAATCCCATGTCTTCTTTCTATATTACAATACATTTTGAAAAATGATTCATAATGTACATTTCTAAACAGACACAGAGTGGTGCGGATGTTGTCTCAGCACTGTGCTGTGTCACCGTGCACAACACTGTACTTTAGAGCAAAAGAAAAGCAGGACAAGCCTTTATATTTACTCATAAATTATTGACATGTCAGTTCATATTTTGTTTTAGACACGACAGCATGCAGGCGGGATGGAATATTTTTTCATTTGTGATTGTAAAAACAGCCACAAATACAGCATCTGATGGCATTTACTGTATGGACAGAGGCAATCAGCAAAGGTCAAAAGTGTTTGAGAATATCAGCTTTTCAGCTCATATAGAGCTGTTTAAGCATTCAATTCTTTTCTCCCAGGTGGTTTTAGTAAAAGGGTTTGTGGATACAGCAATGTTATTTCGTATGGTAAGAACTCTAAAAGCGTTTAATGGCTTCACAAATGTGCAAATAGATGCAGAACCATTTGTCCTGTGCAAACCCATTTAAATGTTGGAATTATTCAGAAATGTGCATTAAAAAAAGAGTGCCGTTATTAGGAAATATCACAAAGTGATACCCTAATCATAGTATAACAGAGACAATCTATTAAATGGTAAAATATGAGCTCATGTTGAGTTAAAAGGCAGCAGCACATTCAGAAAAAAGTTGGGATGAGGCAATAAAAGGATGGGAAATTAAATTGAGGACATGCCAGGACCACGATTTGGTGTAAAAAAAACATTTCTATGGGAGGCAGAGGTTCAACAATTTGCGAAAACCATCATCAGAACATACTGAAGGATTCCAAGAAAATGGAGATGTCTCTGTGTGCATGAGACATGGATGACAATCTGTCCTGTCTTTCCCTGATCTCAAGCAGTGCTGCATTAAAGACCTGATTCTGTCCTGGCAAATCCCTCAGGAGAACTTCCTGAAACAGTTGCTTGCAAACACATCTCTCCGTGCCATCCACAAACGCAAATGGAAAGAAGCACCATGCAAAGGAGAGGCGATATTTGAATATGATCCAGAAATCCTGCTGACCGTTTCGGGAGTAAGCTCCCTTCAAACGGACTGAACCAAAGGGGAAAGCTGATATGTGGAGAGATGAATCCAAATTGGGCGGCACGGTGGTGTGGTGGTTAGCAAGAGTGTTCTAGTTCCCAGGGGAACCAGGAGCTTTCTGTGTGGAGTCTGCATGTTCTCCCTGTGTCCGTGTGGGTTTTCTCTGGGTTCTTCAGCTTCCTCCCACAGTCCAAAAACCTGCATGTTAGGTTGATTGGACATTCCAAATAGTGTGCTTGGTTGTTTGTCCTCATATGTTTCTGTGTGGCCCTGCGATGGACTGGCGGACCATCCAGGGTGTACTCTTCTAACCAACATAAGTGAGATATCTTTAAACCAATGAAATTGCTTTCGTAATTTGTTAGTATTTCATATGTTGTCCTGATTTAGGGCTCCTCCCAGTTGGATTCCCACAGGCTGTTAGCTGTCCAGGGTGCGCCCTCCCTCTCTGTTGGCTCGTGACTCTGCATAGGGGGAATGGCAAATGGAAGGAGGGACAGGATCCTAACTCTTATTAGGATCTCGTCAGGGTTGGGTTTGAAATAAACACGCAAAGCCAGATGTTTTGTGGGATCGTGTGTGTGCTGCATGAGTTTTTGCATTAAATCCACATCAAGTTTGCGTCAGCAAGTTTGGAGGTTTATTTAATGTCATAGCAGCAAGTTGTAATGTAAAGTAACAAAGACATACACACTTGTAGGACCATCAATGAATGAAACAAAGTTTGCACAATATTTTTGTCTTCAGTCACGGTTTACGCTGCCTACCTAAATTTGGCTGTTTTAAGTTATAACATAGTGGAAAATATCCCCGGTGTGTTTCATAAAAGTGATGGGAAGCAAACATTTCAAATGCACATGGCAACGCGGGCTAGATATCTGCCATGAATCAGGACAATTACAGTCACAGGAAAATACCGTAGTTCCTAATCCAGTGAAAAAAATACGCATCGCAATGGCTCACTGTCAGACAAGTGTCAAATGAAACGACCAGGAGCTCTCTCTCCTGGTCCACTGCGCGGGCGAACTGCATGACATGGCACTTATGTAAAAACAAACTGTGACTGACAAATAAAAACATTCACATTGAGACACAGCTTTTCATTCTTCTGATCCGAGGGCCGCAGAGACCCTCGGTCGCCACAATCCTAAAGTCAAAGTGCTGCATCGTACAAGAACTTTTGGCGTTTTTCAAAAGGAAGACTTAAGAAGTCGTTTTTTTTTATATTTTGTTTTTTACACAGGTGAAGTGAAACATGAAATGGAACAAACAACATAACAGAACAATCTGGGGAGAGTCTCAGCTCCTGCTTGTCATCCACCGCTGAGAGGACGTGCAGCTCTTCCTATTTCATCGCTGTAAGTGAAACTTTGAAATAGCCACATTTTTTTAAGACATTACATGAAATTTATCTGCACTCACATGTGGATATTAAAAAAAAGGCAAACGATAATTGGACCAATGTTTGTTCACCTCTGTGATCACAGCACATTATGTCTCAGTTTAGTCACCAGTATTTTGGTTAGTGGGAGCAGCGTGCACTGAACTGCTCAGGTTGGATGATTTAAAATAGTTTTTTTGTCAGCCTCAATTTCGCACATCTTTCACAGACACACTGACAACTCAATCAGGAATAGTAGGAGGGTTTTAGTGGGGCTGTGGGACAAACCCAGAATCTGATATGAATAAATATAGGCATATAAAAATACAACAAGCATACCTACTGTATGTCCTGCTGCTCTTCCCTGGTAAAAGGTGTTTAATATAACTAGATACTGGTGTACTTATACACACACTATGATAATTAATAGTGACTCCTAATTTGCATATTTTTCATTTAAATGTAATAAACATCAATATATCTGAGTGATGACTGTATTTTATTTGTGGCTTAATACAAATGTTTAGCTTTTACCCATTTTAGATCAGAGTATTGTTTTATTAGAGCACAGGATTTATTGGTATACATACAAAGATAGGTATATACATTTCATGACTTTAATCATGACAGTTTTACAATTAACTTGCCCTTGATGGAGAGGCTCCAATCGTTTTGAGCTTCAAATGAAAGACACAGGGCAGAGAGGTTTAACTCTCGGGGCGCGGCTTCGGGGGTTTTACAATTTAGGGCACCACGAACCTGGTGGTGGGTGAACATTTCACAGCTGAAATCAGTACATTCTGTGGAAAATAAGCTGCGCAGCTCCAGTACAAACGGCGGAGGGGCCGCCCGGCTTTGTAATCGCTGCTCCAAAATCAACGAGGAGTCACTTCTCCTTTCTGAGCGGCCTCTTGTTCTCATGCTTACTGTGAAGAGGTCCCAACCCTGCTTTGTCAACCCCCCCCGGGTTAGGTGGACCATTATAGCAAAGGACAACCCCTCCCCTCCCCCACTCACGTTAAATTATTGCAATTCTACACTGCCCAACTTAAGTCAAGAACAGAAAAATAAAGGCAAGTTTAACAGGTGCACTAATAGACTATTCCATGCAATGTTCTGATTTCCGTCCTGTGTACAAAGGCATTGTGTCAGATAGGCTTAGTGTTTCTAGAGCATTTTCACTTCAAACACACCTCAGGTTTATGGATTTAAATTAGTTGGACAGCTCTTTTGTTCACATGGATTCTCATGTACAAAAAATAATGATATTTATATTAATAATAATAATTGAAAAGAAACTGTAGAAATGTGCATTCATTGACACCACTGAGGTTAGGTGTTAACACCAGCATTCCATTATATTAACATGGTTCAAAGCTTGCCATGTGATGGGATTAAATGTCACTATGGTTACTATACAGATGTGTCAAGTGTCTCAGGTGCACAACTGCCTGGAGTAAGCTCAAGTGGATGTGACAAATCATAGAATTTACATTTGCTTCTAACATTACTTC